TAACTTTACAATACAACAGCTTTTTTAAGATGATTCGCAGCACCATGTTTATACAATATAGTAGCAGGAGACAGTGATGTAGGATTTTCATGGTAACTGGAAGAAATACAGTACACTTTCACCATGTGTATCCTTATCAGTAATATAAAAAAAGACCCTCAATAAAGTGGCAAAAAACCAAACAATCAGACCAATCACATAATATAAAACACAGGCAATAACACAAATATATACAATATTTTCTTTTTACCCTTTTAAGCAGTCTAATTGTACCATTGTGGTTTTGAATGAAGAAAATAACTTTCATAGCCTTTCATGCTCTGAATTTATTTTGTCGTCATATTAAGAACACCCTTGTGTTCACAATAGGCTCCCTTCAGCCTAAGACCTGTTCAATCCTTCAAGAAAATAACCTCGACATATATTCAAGGGTAAAACCAAACAAACCAGATATTGTGAAAAATAGGGTCTGTTCAGCACATTTTCAAGGACAAAGTTCCTAAGGTGACTTAATAAACGTAGTACAAGTACACACTTGTAGTATAGGTTGAGCTGAGTACAGTAATTAAGACATAAATTAACCTATCGACCACTCACTCTTTCAAGTCACAGGAGTCAAGTTGAATTAGCTTGAAGAGGGTGTGATTTATGATTGTATAGATGCAGTCCAGGTGACAATAAGACTATAATGAAAGACTCCTTCGCGTGTCTCTTGTTTGCTTTTCTCAACAGCAGTCTGTCCGATCTACCTCAGACCCGATGTGTGTGTTGACATAGATCCGAGAACATGCAGGAGGGAGTTGTTTGGTTGTGCGATGAATAATAAAATACATTTTTAAAATACATTTTACATTATCTATAACCAAGCTGGTCCTCGGGTTCACTTTGGAGAGGTTGCTATATCATTTACCTGAAACGCACACCCACACACACACACACACACACACGCACACACTTTTTTGGTGCGTATGCTCATAGCAGTCGCCTTTTCAAAACAGCAAGGTTTTGTGTAGTTGTGTGTAGATGGAGTCCAAGCGACAATAAGAGCATAATGAGAAACTCAGCTCTTGCATGTGTGTGTGTGTGCACCTGTTGTTTGCTTTTCTCAACAACAGCTCATCCAATCCACCGCAGATTTGATGCGTGTATTGCTGTGGACCAAGGACAGGCAGCGTCGGGCATAGAGTTGTTTGGTTGTGCAGTCCTCCATATTTTTTATGTCAACAAAATCTACCATACATTATTCTTCATTCACAAAATCTTGATTATAAATGTTGTTTGCATTAGCTGCTCTTTATTAAACTGGACTTACTGGACTTACATATTCACACGAGCACTGGCTTGTTTTTTCTTCTGGGCACATTAACGAGACTTTTCCCTCTTTTCTGCTTTACAACTAAATGTGGGCAGCCTGAATCAGCTGCGAATTTAATAACACGTTCTATTTATGTGGCGACAACTGACTTCAAGCACTCGCTCTTACTTTAAGCCAATAACAGCCAGTTCTGAGCAGGCACTTTGAATGAGTGCTGCACTAGCCCAATACAAATAGCAGTCTGTGTTTGAGGATTATGCGGCTGTAGCAGCAAGGTAACTTTTATTTTTTTAAATTTGTGTTAATGTTTAAACAGTTTGGTTAATTGACCAATGAACAAACAGAGGGCAAAAATCAAATTAAATTAAAATAAGTTCAAATTGAGCAGAAAGCACTAATGTTCTCATCAAACTGGTTGCTTTGGAATATCAATTATTTTGTCTTCCAAGGTTGTTTCATCCTGTTAAAATTAAAACCTGACGAGGGCAACTTTGCTGAGTTTTATAGACAGAGCAGAGTGGTCTAATTACATACATAATTACACACTTAGACAATTTTCAAATATCATTTGTTTCAGCTAACAGGAAATGTGTTAACACCCTGACTTGAGATCACTTTATAGTGTTGCTTTTATTTCATGTGTTAATCTATTATTTAGCGTCTTGTGTCGTACTATTTTTCTTTATTGCTCGGTCTATTGTTATTAGAAAATTAGTTAAAAGAAGAAAGGGTGATATTTAAGAAGATCTTAGTAAAGTAGAGTTGTAAAGTGTAATGTTGTAATGAAAAAAAAAATAGTAATTTAGTAATAATTACAGACATGGATGAAAAAAAGTAGAACATTTCAAGAAAATATGATTTTCTTAAAAGAATGTATTGATGTTTTTTTACAAATCCAGTGTTATAATGGATTTATTTTAGAATATGAAAAGTCAACTCCAGGATCAAGCTTCATGTTTTATAAAGAGGCTGATGAACAAAACACTAACAGAGCGTTTGTGCTGACGAACATGATTTTGGCTCGCTGGTGAAACTCGGGGTTAATCGCCTGAATGTTTGCACTGACTGACCTTCCAAAGACTAGAATGCCACAGTGGTTGTGTTTGTATGTGTGCATGCACCAAAACCTTACTTGTGTCCTAGCTCGTGTGCTACAGTGAAAGCCAGTGGGAGGCCCGTGTCCTCGCTAATGCTGCAACTGCGATGCGGCTGACACATTCCCGCCACATGCGACAGACCCAGGGTTTCACAAGGTGTGTTGACGGATGCGCAGATGTCCTTTCTGTGGAAAGAAGACGACAGACTGTTGGTCACATATCAGAAGAAGGGGGTGAAGCAATGATTACAAAATAATAATAATGATCTTCTTATGACTGGAAGCATTCATTCATTCGAGACGTGAATGAATGAATAAAATGCATAACTGGATTTTACATATGCATTACTTTCTTCTCAGATCTTATATTTAAAAATATTTAATATCTGCAGATAACAGCTGTAAATTGCAAATCCAGCTTTTTAAAGCCAGAAGAGTGTTTTAACATTTTTGCTATCACGCTTCCTTTTATTGGCTGAATAAGGTAGAAAAAGAGAGCAGATCATCTAGGGAACAAGAGGAGGACAGAGGAAATAGAAAAGATATCTGAGTGGTGCTAACATGAAAAGCACAAATGTTTGCCTTCCTTAAGAATGGCTTCTTGAGAGGCACCGTTTCTGATGAGGTTTCAGTGAACAGCAGATGGATCAATGTGAAAAGCAAGGTGCATCTCTCGGGTCCTGTGCCAGGTATTTGATTCATTTTTCCCTGTTTCTTAAGAACATGACTCAGATGCTGTTCACCCGCTCTAGATAGTCTTTTTAGGCCTGGCGTGTCTTCTTTAATCTTCCACTTTTGTCCAGTTTCCTACATTTTTTAAGGACGCACTGCACATTATGCTGAAATATGCCAAGATTTTGGGTAACAGCTCTTCAGGAATCACCTTGATGTAGCAAAGATACTGTTTTATGTCCGTCAAACAGTGTTTTTTTCTTTTTTTTGGCATATTTCATAGATTT